CGACGGTTAGTTTACGTTAGAATAAAGGGGATAATGTTCCAGACGCTCAGAACATGCTCTCAGGACGTTCATAAATCTTCACTTTCAGCTCCAACCTCAACCCCATGAAAATGCGATATTTTCAATTAAACAATTGGATGACGTAGATGTCCTTTGCTTGTATAAATGTTATATCGTCATTTTGATCTTTATACAAACCAATTTATTAAGTTATACACTCAGTACATCTTGTAAGGAACTGGATGGATCATTATGATTCAAATCACGATTGTATACTTCATGATGATAAATTACAACTTCATAATCCAAAGGGAAATTTAAAGAGGACAACGTTGAAGTGAATTATAGCCTTTATTTTAACTGAGCATATACATACCATGATAAAGAAAGAAATGTCATATATAGGCTGGAATTTGCACCTCTATCTTGATGTAATCATTAAAAAAAGACCTCCAAGTGGCTATAATTCATTTAAATTCGATTCAATTTCGATTTTATAGACAACCCCAAAACATTCCAAAACTCCAGCGAATAATACTGCCACATTTACAATGAAAAAATATACAAAGGTAAATTAATAAAATGAAATGAAAATATAGACAATGGTACAATTTAATTTTCAAAACTTAATACACTACTTGATAATATTCATTACATCACAGAGATGAAATTTTGTTCATGGAAAGTTAGGAATTTTAAAGTATTACAAAACGATATACATGACTGTATAAGATTGAAAGTTAAGTCAATTGCATCAATTTTAGAAGCTCAGTCTCCTCCGAAACATTATCAGATGGAATAGAACTCCATGTGATATTTTGAAGTATTTATATCGTTGAGCTTCATAAGAAAGATAAGATGAAGAAAAGGTTAAAGTAAGAAAGAAAAATATATTATTCTTACTATGTCTAACAACTCCTTTTCCATCTACATCCTGAAAAGGGCATTCAATGTAAAGGAGAGTAGATCACTTTGCTGCCTGTGCCTAGATCAGATATAAGGTCAAGTGCGTGAGAATATTTTAGCACTTACATCTTAACAAATGAAAAGATATGCGGTTGAATGCGACACAAACAAAACAAATATTTTCCGAGGAAGAAATCTGATTTCAGGGACGGATCTGGAAATGGCGATGTTTGATCGATAATTTTTTAATTCAATGGAAGCTCCAGCATCCGTTTTTCTCGGTGTCATTTTTTTTTTTACAGTACAAAGCGGTTGATAAAAAATAAGAAAGCCGCATATGAGTGACTGTCACGAAGCGAATATTCAATAGCGCTGAAAGATTCGAATTTTTCCTTCCTTTAAAATTGTATTTCTCATATTTCAGTTAAGGTCAAGGACCTTAGAGATGCTTTAGTTATCTCCTCCCATTTTCATTGATTTAAATTTCACCAAATGGATATGTTTTCCTGCGTATTTTGTTAACTCTACTGTTCATGTAATAGTTGTCGTATTCCTATTTTCATTGATTTAACAAGAAATTACCGAATAGATTTTTGTTTCCGCGTATATGTCGTAACTCGATATCTGTACATGTAACATGAATGCCTTACACGAACAAAATTGCTAAAATAATATGCGTCAAACACCACAAGTACATAGAACTAAAGTGACAGGAAGAAATCTCGGAGAAAATATAATAAAACACTTTGTTTCCTTTATTTACCTATAGATTCGCACGCAGATTGATGTTAAAAATCATTATGAAAGAGGAAGGAATCAGACTCAGACTTGAACAGGGAACAACACAGATGAAATGATTTAAAACATTCTTCTAAAAGAAAGAGAAAATAGAAAAAGATGCAGGTATAACGACAAACAATACCAAACAACTTTAAGGAAGGCAAATTCATAACAAAAATGGGAATAGGAAAGATTTTCAGCTTTGATTCCCCGAGAACAGTGATACCTGTTTTCATTATCATTATTATTATTACTGTTGTTATTATTATTAATAGTAGAAGCAACAGCAGCAGTAGTAGTAGTAGTAGTAGTAGTAGTAGTTGATCAATATCGTTGTAGTAGTAATAGTATTACCATTATTATTATTATAATATCAGTTGTATCATTATCTAGATTCTAGTCATTCTACTATTAATAATACCAATCATTATCATTATCATTATTACTATCATTACTTAACTAAGTATGATTCACTTATCTATTTTATTCATTTTTTTCATTCATTCGTTCATTTCTCTCCTCTTTCTTCCATTTTCTTCGAAATACATGTACATATATCATTATCTTGCTTGACTTGGACCTTTAAACCGTCCATCCATGCAAACGAGTCATAAATCAACCAACAACTGTCAGTAGCAAGGCATCTGCCAGGCAAGGCACACCAGAGTTAACAACCCGCAAAATATGTCACATGCAGACGACACCATACCCTTCCAAAAATTTGTTTTCAACGATTTCGCGCGCAGCGAGCACGCGTGTTAATATTAGATGACGAATGACCAGCAGTTCGGAGTAAGGGGAGAATCGCCGAGATAATAAGATTTTACGCAGAATTCTGAAAAACCAGTTGACTAGGATCTCCATAGCTAAATATAGAGAAGAATCTCGGTTCATACGAACATAAATATCTCAGCTTTGATTCATGTATATTCATGAATTTTTATCTTATATAATTATGCAGCAATGAGTAAGAATAATGTTAAGTTACAAAGACAGGAAATGAGTTAACAGTGATGTGGTAAGGAGAGAAGAATGTTCATTATGTGAGATATTAAGGTATAATGAGATATGCAAGAGAAGAGTATGTATGAATGCAAGAATGAGTAAAACAGTGAGACAGATGGAAAGACAGATGGAAAGACGGATTGTGAGAGAGAGAGAGAGGGGGGGGGGGTGAGAGGGGTGAGATGGAGATAATGAAAGGGATTCAGATATGCATAAAGGATAGAATGAAAGGCACGGGTAGACTGAGAGGATCAAAAGAAAGAGAAAGAGAAATTGAAACAAATGAGATAGATGACAAGATTACGAGAAATGTAACGGGGAAAGAAAATGTTAAAGAAACAAAGTGGTATAGAGAGGAAAAAAAGAGAAAGGCAAAGATGTAGAACAAACAGTGGAAAATAAAGAGGTAGAGAGGGGAGATAGAGAGGGGATAGAGAGACGGAAAAGAGAAAGAGAGAGAGAGAGAGAGAGAGATGGTAAAAGAGCTAAGAAAGAGGAAAGGATCACTTGTGTGTCACAGTTGTAGCACCTCCAGGGATTCGATTAGTTTGTAAAATCAATTAACCTAAGCGTCAGTGCAAGGGAGAGGGCGAGAAATCGCATGAAAATAATAATACCCCAAAACAAACTCGATAAATTTCCGTAGAACCCTATTTTTCTGATAGCATGCTCTTTAACAAACCAGGACAACCCCATACAAGCAGTGATCACGAGATGTGACTTCGAATAGAAATGTCTTACTCTAACTCTGAAAATTGAATATGTCAACATCTATAACTCGCTCGAAAGATTCTCAGAATATACAGTTATCTTACCCAGCGAAATCACATCTCTTGAGTTCAGATCAGAATGGTTGCCGGAAATATAATCGATGTATTTACATGTATATTTGACCTCTACACTTGTTGGGGACCCCGTATAAATATTGGAATATGACATTGGTATCCTACTCTTTTCAATAATTCATCTACTCTAGATATTAAATCTAGTATTCCCCTCGCCCCTCTCTCTCTCTCTCTCTCTCTCTCTCTCTCCCTCTCTCTCTCTCTCTCTCTTTGTCTTCCCTATGTGTCTCTTTTTCTCTTACCTCTTTCTTATCCTCTTCCCCCTTTTCCCCCGTCTCTTAATATCATTCTATTTTTCTCTTGAGCCCAACTGACATGTTTAATCCTTTATATACTGTTTCAGAAACGGACTGTTAAACGCCGAAATTTCACGGCATAAAAATGAAAAAATTCCTTTGAATAGAACTTAATTATTTAAGAAATCTTTGACAGAATCCTCAGAAGAAGAAAAAGGTTTGCACTGTATTTATCTTTGGCTGTTGCCCTAGGACAATGACCCTGAACAAAATAGCGGAAATTACCGTGGTCCCTCGTTACCGTCCATCAATTATCTACCTTAGATAGTAACTCTCCCATTTCCTCACACCCTCCATATTTCCTCATTCTCCCTTTCCCTCTATGTTTATCTCCCTCATGCGCCCTATAAAAATGTTAGAACCATCGAAAGCTACCGCCCTATAATGCTCAGGGATAGGTTTGCCAATAATAATTCTGAAATCGGGGACAGTATCCTATCCTTGTAGAAATATTTGATATATTGACCGTTGACCTTCTTTTAAGACCCTGAACAAAATAAAGGGCAACATTTAAGTAGTCCCCCGGCTGCCCTCAATACATCATTAACTATCTACTACAGATGTTAACTCCTCGTGCTATCTCTCTCTCTCTCTCACTCTCACCCTCTCCCATTCTCTCTATTTGTCTCTCTGTGTGTGCCTCTCTCTTTCTTTCTCTCTCTCTCTCTCTCTCTCTTCCTCTCTCCCCTTTTCCCTCTTGCTTCCAATTCCCCCCTTTTCCTCTCTCCATCTACCTTTCTCTCTCTCTTTCTCTCTCTTTCTCCCACTCCGTCCTTCTCTCGTACTTTATGCCTCGTTCTATTTTCCCCTTCTCCTCACTCTCGTGCTCTCCGCCATTCTCTTGTGATTAAAATAAAATTTCATATTAGTTCAGAGGTAGAGGGCGCTCCTAAAAGAAATCAGATGTTTAAGTTTCAAGACCATGATCGGGTAAACTTTACTATAATACAAAATGGAAAGATATGTGAATACTGTGTCATCTTCTTCACACAATCAACCGATTCCTGCTGCTTAATAAAACTTACTGTCGAAATGTTCCAACTGTAGATCTTCCTGTAGGCACACACATTATAGTCCTATCAGTTTACATAACGGGGTAAAAAAAAATATATATGAAAAAGATATCTGATCCAAAGGAAACAAAATGGTTAAGGAATATCAGTCTTACCTGTCTATCGCAATCACAAGGAGTGTGTTGACCGACACGTAGAGCGAGACATTTTTGACCGTTCCGACGATGGGACACAGGACGGAAGGCAACGTCCAGTCCTGCTGCAAGTACGCGTGCAGTGACAAGGGTGCACTGAAGAGCGCCACCAACGCGTCCGATCCTGCAAGGTTACCAATCAAGAGATTGGTGACGCTCCGGAGCCTCTTATGTCTTACGATCAGGAAACAGAGTAAGGAGTTACCAATGCCGCACACGACTATGGTCAGGACGAAAGACACTGTAAGGAACACCTTGACACCCTCGGAGACATTATAGTTCGTCTCGATGCAATCTTTATTCGGAGAGAAGGACGAGTAGTCCGAGTTGTCCCATGCCGAAAAGTTCAGGTCTGGATAATTGGAGCTCATGTAGGCGCTTGGTGCCAGGTCCGATGATGCGAGTTTGTGATCGATCCCCATGTTGTCTCTCGTGTTCGATACGTCTTGTGATTCAGACTGTGTGATGAAGTTACCACCCATTAGGATGCTGAGTTGGTCAAACTAAAGAATACTGCGATAGTATTCTCCAGAACGACTTCTTGGCCTTTTCTTGCCAGTTGTCCAAGTGAAATCAACGGTCGCTTGATTCAAGAGGAGAACCCAATTACGTCATCATCGCTGGCTCTTAATGGGACAGTGTCTTGCTCAGTAAGAAGTTTTCTGACGAAAAGAATGCTTCACACATCACAGCGTCCGGTCATCACTAAAGCCGTTGGTAGCCGCGTCTTTCGCAATTCCGGTCAATCACTTCTCTCGACCTGTATGGCGAAAGAAACAAGAGGACAAACAGAGATGATAGCACGAAAATTTAATTAACAAAATTACGCTCTGACATGGCCGTAATTCACAATAGTCTTTTTTTTTTTAGCGTGCTTCGCCGTTGCTACGGATCATCACCTTCGCGCAGGCGTAATGAAACATTTGATAAAGCTAATTGGAAGTGGTCTTTGGATGTGTACATTCACTTGGACATTTACATCCGGTCATTAGTGAGTATTTACGATGATGGTATGAATTTACTGAGAACTCCTTTGCCTTAGTGCGTACGAGCCACGCGTCATTGCGATTCGGACACTGGTGATAATCGGGTAATGTAGGGTTGGCAATATAAAGACTTTTTGCTGCTATTTAAGCGAAAATTAAACGTTTTTCACACCTCGTTTTGAGAAAAGTCATAATGAGTAGCAATACAGTTGGCGTAATAACTTAATAAGGATGACCAAACAATGCTTTTTACTATAATTTACTATTAATTATAAATAAATACTTCATAATTTCATTCGGCGTATATAAGTATATAATTCAATTCAAATTCAACTTTCAAAAATGTGAGTCCAAAGTATTAATGTAAAACTGTCATGATTGTTTTGCCAACTCAGAATTGAGTTTTTGGAAACTTCCCTTGTACTCAACAAAATAGTACTAGCCTACATTCTGATTTTAAAGCCTAAGGCATTCATTTTATTCTGCATTTTACTTTAAACTTCAATATGATCAATTTCTACCATGTTCACAGTGAGAGGTTGCATTGGAGGATAAATAGACAATGTCTGGTAGCCATCTTACTATCCACCGCAGTGAGATGCTACTGGGCTGTGACCTGGCTGGATGAGGTTGGTGTACGGACGGACTCCACCTCCCGCTGGTACCCACTTACCGCCCTATTAACACACTTTCTCTACCAGAATCATCGGAGGCGCCAGGCGTGGCGCCACATTAACATAGATGTGTTAGGTCAGTGGAAACTATAGGACCAGCAACTGCGGGTGCATTAGCCCTTCTGGCATTTTTGACCCAACTGCACTCACTGGTCTTTAACAACAACGAAACTTGCTCTGGAGTTTAGACCGCATTTTGTGCACCTGCTTGCTTTGGTCATTCGCCATTTTGCAAACACACAGGCACGCACACGCACACACATCCCCCATACCTACCCACACACATACATGTTCACGCGCGATAACACAGTTGGCAGGAAACAAACTCGTGATGTGATACTTCCAAATCCTAACCACAAAGCATTCCGTATAGTTCCTCTTCCGTACAGTTACAAAATGTCTAAATGTGGAAGACACGAAATAAGGAAATACAGCCAATCTCGATGCAAACGTTCTCAATTCCCCCTTTGGGCACAGCGTGACTTTAACATTACGAAACTTGATTGATATTCAGTATTTGAAGACATCCTTTTGGAATACGCAGCATTTATATTTCTCAATCCATAGAGTAGTAGCCCCTCACAAGTCGTGGAGTGACAATATTGTGGTGAGGATGAGTGTAGAATGAAGAGGGAGATATGAGAGACAATAAGAGAGAGAGAGAGACATAGAGAGAGAGGGGAGGAGGGACATTGTAAAAGAATTAAAAATAACGCAAATAAATAAACGTATAGATATGGATATAAGAGATCAAGATATATGGAGAGAGAGAGAGAGAGAGAGAGAAAATGAACACAATGATGGAACGACGAAATAGGGTTAACGATGGCGTACTGAGTTTGTAATAAGGGATAATAAGCTTGCGTGTGAACATGAGAGAGAGAGAGAGAGAGAGAGGGGGGGGGGTGAGATAAGGGGAAGTGGAGGGGAATTGGGAGATGGAGCAAAAAAAGGAGTGATACTGAGACGAAATGTGGATAGGCAGAGAAAGAGAAAGGGGAAAGGGAAAGAAAACGATAGGAGGAGGACGTGCATAGTAAAGACATGGGTGGAATAAGGTGAAGAGGAGGAAGAGAGAGAGAGAGAGAGAGAGAGAGAGAGAGAGAGAGAGAGAGAGAGGTGGCGGTATACAACGAGGTAGTAGGTGTAGGGAGTACGGACGGAGGGCTAGCAAGGAAAAGGAGAATGAGTAAGTGAGAGAGAGAGAGAGAGAGTAGAATTAATAGAGAGAGGGAGGAGAGAGAAATAAAATAGGATGCGATCATTGAAACTAATCCGTTTTGGAGCGTGAGCAGTCGAGTGATCTTGTTATTTCAGACAAATGTGGGTTAAGGTATGATAAATTGGGCAGCCCTTTCCCGCCAAGAGGAATGTAATAATGATATCTCACGTATCTTATAGAACAGATACCCAATGCTGATAAGGTCCGATCAGGGAAATTATTTCAGTAAACTATGTGTAATGATCAATAGTTCTATTGAACTGATATACCATTCAACTAATTTACATGTCCAATACAATCCAAAAGGTTATGGAAGACACTATAACATTAAGTTAGGTGACAGTGTTATAGAACTCCAATTATATATTCCTCTGGCTATCTAAACTTTTAGAGTTTATTATTAACACCAATTCACTCCATATTTGTATGCGTGTTTTTGATCCATTTAAAAAATTCAATAGAAACAAGAAGAAAGTACCTAACTATTTAAAGACAGTTTGAGAAAGACAATTCGGATAGACCATGGCAAAAAACATTTTTCATGATAGCTCCAAAGACAGTGTGTGAATTCGCGATTAGAGAGTGGTGTCAATCGCATCCTCATGGTAACCGTAGTGTTTGTCAGAAACTCCAACCTTGGCTTTGGAACTAACAAAAATATTCCAGTCTTTCTTCTTGGCCCATTATGGGTGCAACTTTATTACTATGGTTACGTAACGTTATACAACTTACAAGAGATGCAGAACTTTAGAGGCTGCGCTGTAGCTACTGGAAGCATGTCCCCCCTATGAAATATGAAGGGAAAAAACGGAGAAGACAGAAAGAGAGAAGGAGAGAGAGAGAGAGAGAGAGAGAGAGGAGAGAGAAAGATTCGGAGTTGGAGAAGGGAGAGGCAACGTAAAAGAAAATCCTACACCCTCATCCCACTCAACAGTCTTGTTCTTTTGATATTGTATGCATTTAACTAAACCGGCTACCCCCCCCCCCCCCTCCCCTCCAAAAAAAATTAAAAAGTTAAAAAATTAAAAAATCCCCATGGCACAAGGTCCCCCATTAGCTAGATCTACACTACGCCACCGCTTGGTGGGGGAGACGTAGAACAAGAAGGAGGGATCCTAAAATGACGCAACCCTCAAATAAGGAGGGTAATCCGGGTAATAATTCACATAATCATATTAGACGCCTCGTCCGGAACTGTTAACAATGTAACTCGATCGTGTCAATCAGTGGCGGAGCTGCGAGATCGTAGGGTGCACATGCCCCCTAAGTATGTCGAACAGAAGGACAAGGGAAAGAAATACAAAGAAATTGAGTGAGGAAATGGAGTATCAGGTGAACTCTCCCATTGCTCCTTTCATTCGATGACCGAGTTCTCTATAACGTCATCTGCCCCTGATAAATTCTGAGCCACCCCCATGACACCATCCACGCACCCCCCCTCATGTTCAACAAAAATAAGAAAAATAACCAAAAAAAACTCGCGCAGAATTATTTAAAAAAACATCCTACAGAGGGCCGTCAATATTTGAGCAAAAGTATTGTATGTGTCATACCTGTACTTTTGATATAAATTTTGAAAATAAACCACGAAAGCGTACTTTGTTGAATATTTTGGAAGGAGTTTAATCCTGTCGCGAATTACCATAGTGCGAATGAAAGTGGATTTTGCATGACAAATCGCAGATTCGCTTGGTTTAGGCCACATCACAATCATACATTTCTTATCATCTGAGTTCTAATTCCAATACTACCGCTTTTTATCATGGTGAAATTATTATCATCATCAGCATGCATCATCATCATCATCGTTATTATAACTAGAACTTTGTAAACACTTTATTTTTCAGTTCATTTACATATATTTCAGTTTGTGCTGATCTTCAAATATTATCATTCATGAATTATTATAAGATTACATGATCATCGTTCTCTATAAAAATAACGGTCCATGTCTCAAAATCAAGTTCAATTCTTTTCGTCATCGTTGGCGTCGACGTCATCATTATCAGCAGCATCATCATCATCATCATCACTCTCTCTTTCTCCCTTTCATCTTATTGTTTCGCTTTTAGTTTGTTCCCTCTCTCGTGCTCTCTCTCTCTCTCTCTCTCTCCTCTATATCACCCAATAATGATATCAATCATATCTCTTTTATGTATGACATGTATAATGTCTGCCGCAAATCGCATGAATTCATACACGCCTCAGAAATTGATCATGCCGTTGACGACTGGTCATAATTTATTGGCGTTCAGGGCTACATAAGAGCACCAATTCATTATCATCAACACTTAAAGAGAAGTAAAGAGGAGTCCTGCTAAATGTGCATAAATAACTTTGAAGTTCTCTTAATATGTCAGTGTGAAGAAAACAAATGAGAAATTTCCCCTGAAAATTATTGTTCTTCAAACGCCCTTATATTGCGACATAAAAAGGGGAATCAGCAGAAAGGCAGGGACCGATTTCCTTCCACATGCTTTTGTAGTCCCATATGTGCAGTAGACGTGGCTTTCAGTAGTATGGAGTAAATTTCTTATTACTCCAATGATTCCAAATCCTTGTAGTAAATACGATTTCTTATATACTACATAATCACCCTTTCCCGTTATTGTTTGCAAACAGTGGCATGACCATAACTCGGTTTGATCTTTAAAACGTTGGGTTGATTTAGATCAGGCGTCGGCCCTAACGACCAGTCTGAGTGTTCCAAGTGTCATACGTATAATATAACATTCATGAAACATTGAAAAATTACGTTTACGCAACACCACCCCTGAGGTTTTATGTCGTCTAGTAAACGTGTATACAGAACAATGCACGATTAGATTGCTACAACGACAACGTCATCTACTAAAGTACT